AACATAGAAGCTGCCGCCGAATTGCCGCCGCGGACGGCGGGGGCAGTCTGTGTGCCGTTAGGGCGGCACACGTGTTTCCGCGGTGGCGGCAATTCGGCGGCAGCTTCTATGTTCAGCTGCCCACAGCAGCAATTCGGCGGCTTCTGTCTTCCGGCTGAACATAGAAGCTGCCGCCAAATTGCTGTCGCCGCGGAAACGCGCGTGCCGCCCTAACGGCACATGGACTGCCCCCGCCGTCTGCGGCGGCAATTGGGTGCGCTGCTTGGGGCAGCAAAAACAGTAGAGCCGGCCCTGTCAGGGACACCTCTTGGCAAATGTAGCCATGTGGGTCATCACAAACCTTTCAATTCTAAAAATGTAAATACTGCAATGGAGAGTATTTCATAACAGATGTGACTTCAGAATGGCTCAACTTCCATTATAATACAGTAATTAGTAAACATTTCCCACAAATGATGTAATCTGCTAGAAGAAGAAGGAAAGACTCAATGAAATTCAAAGGCAACTGATCAAAAATGTTTAATGATCTGTTTAGTTCACCTGGGAGTTTGCTGCTACGGGATATTGTTGAGTAAAATCACTTACTCAGAGTCATAACAAATTAGGTGCTTACAAAATAAGAATATTAAGTGCAAATAAACTGGCAAAAATAAAAATGATAGGGTCTGTTGATCTTCTAGCTTCAGAGTATAAACTGATCACTCTTTGGGCTAAGAAAAAATCTGCTCTTTCCACACCTTGTTGTACAGTTGATCGAGTGTATTATTATTTATTTATTCGTCTACTTCTCTGATGCAGCTGGTACAAGCCACTGCTGGAGGCAGGAGGCTGGTGTAATTAGACGTGGTCTGTTTTGATATAGCAGTTACTATTGCGCTTACCTCTGGGTGTATTGAACGGAAAGCTGCTCCCAGGCAAGGTCTTTATTGCCTCCAGACTCTGAGCTGAAGTTGGATGCAGCATGCCATCAGGCCAGTCTGACTGCACAGCTAAGAATCTCTGAACAACCTAGTCTGGGTTCTGCTAGAGGAATGAAAGTATCTGTGTCAATAATAATTCAGAAAATGCGCTTTTCAAATAACCTTTCCCCATTGTTAGAAGGAGCACAGGAGCAAGGCCTGGCAGGCAGGAAGCTCACTTGCAGGGCTCTTTGAATTACGATTTTTTTTGCTAATTTCATGGCATAGGAGTTGTCTGAAGCACAGCACTCTAGGACTCTACAAGCACTGGCCTTGAAGAACAGCAAAGCACGAAAGCACATGCTTAACTTTAAGCACACGAATGCCACTGAAATCAATGGAAAGTAAATTTTGGCCAGTTTAACTTATTCGGTGGCTGATTGTGCCAACCTCCCTCAGACTGCATCTGACCTTACTCTGCAAGTGGTCCATTCGGTTTCAATGTGGGTAAAGGTGGCAGAACTAGGCCCCGATAGTGTGGGTGCACTCAGTGAGAGGATCATCCGCCTGGCACCAAGGCATTAAAGAAGCTTTCGAATTTTTTTTAATCAAGTTATTTTTAAACTGAAATTTCACAGGCCAAATCCATGGAGTCAAACTATGCTTTTGGCTGCACCCGCACAAGCCCCCAGTTTTCTTTAGCAGGAGCTGCACATCAGGAAGTGAGGTTGTGGGACTTGGTTGATAGCGTGGCTCTTAAAAAATCAAAAGGCAAAGCTATTTCTTTTTAATAGTTTAACTGAAAATTTCCAAAGCACTTTTAGCATGGGGCTTGCACTAACTAAACCTGGGAGCAGCTAGGATAGCATCATGGTCTGTTGGAGCCTTTTGATTTGACAGATCAAGGACCTTGCATCACTTTGATAAGATGAGGTGGCCAATGTCCAAATTCATTACTGCATGTAGATTATGGTCCACAGTCTGCAGTATGGAGTTTGTTATAGAGAAAATGTCAGAATACGGCAAATTACAATTACATGAATTTGTTAAGTTACATCAAACCCTAAAAACAAAATCTTCATGCTATAGAATTGAGTAGATTATATTTTGGTAAGAACGTACTAGTAAAATAATAACCCTTTCAATGTAGCCTGTTAGTTTAGTAACACTAATGATAGAGTTATAATATACATGCCACTGCCAAAAATAATCCAACAATTTTTCCAACTGTTCTGCCACCCTAAGAAAACACTGCTCAATTCCAACTGGCTGGTTATTTAACCACAAGAAAAAGTTTCATTTCAGCAGTTTTTTTCAAAGTTCTTTTACTCCATGCTTCCCGGATTCACCATCATGGCTGAATCCAGTAAATGATGCAGTGCCATTCAAATGATGCTGAAGACAGCACCTATCCACGTTTCCATTGTATATCCAATTCTCAAAGATTAATCGCATGTTAGATATACTGAAGCAAAACTTTCTTCAGAACTTGTCAGTTTAGATTTCTTTTTTCTAATTTTAAAGCTAGTTTAAGCCACTGCAACAAACATTTTACATGGAATTGCAAAATATACGTTTTCCTTCTTTCGGGATCTTCTCTTACTCATGCACTAGTTAAAGAAGTAGCATGTTATAAATGTGAAGTATCAGAGGGGTAGCCGTGTTAGACTGGATCTGTAAAAAGCAACAGAGGGTCCTGTGGCACCTTTAAGACTAAAGATGTATTGGAGCATAAGCTTTCGTGGGTGAATGCCCGCTTCATCAGACACGTGTCTGGGCATTCACCCACGAAAGCTTATGCTCCAATACATCTGTTAGTCTTAAAGGTGCCACAGGACCCTCTGTTGCACGTTATAAATGTATAAAACACTATTCACATGAGTTTCTACAGAGAAACAAAACACTTTACTACTTAAAAAATAAAACAAAACAAAACAAAAAAACCTCAGACAAATGGTTACTGGAAAAGGCATCAACCTAGATTTAAATAACCTTCTCTCTTCTTTTGTATCACGTGTTAAGTCCTGGCTGCCCACCCTACAATAAAGGCACACTAGAAAAAAGCAGAACACCATGTAATTAACAGTTTGCTAACAAGTAACGGGTTCTAGAAATGATGACCCATATTAAAGAACACAGAAGGAGACTCTCTTTTCACCTGGGAGATCGTAAGCAATGTATGCAGGCAAAGCAAAACCTAACCTACAACACATAAAACGAAGGAACTCAGCTCCGTTTTTCTTCTACTAATAGACATCTTACCGCACATGCTTCAGGATCTGCTTATGAAAATAAAAAAGAACAAAAGGACACATTGCCTTGTGTGGAGGTTATTCAATACTTGAAATATATGAAATGAATGGCCCCTGTGCCTCCTCCAAGATGAATACCAGTGGTTAACATTATTGCCAAAATCTTTTCTTTTCCTTGTTATGCTAAAAATACAAAAATCCTGTATCCATTGATTTCAATACATGTCTAGGAAATTATTGTGTAGGATTATTCTATATAATCTGAAGAATCAGTAGCCAGCCTGTAAGCACACGCACACACACAAAAGGGGTGGAAGTTCTTGCAGGAATGTATGGAATTAACACCAACATCTGTGAAAATTACAACTCAATATTGGCAGCTTTTGCTAGAAATACAAGAAATAAATACATAAAAAAGGAAGTTTATCTTTCGTTAGATCTATAGTAAGTCAAACCCTTTCTGAAAACTACAAACCTTTTTCCAATGCCATTACAATGGGGAAACAATAGATACTCATGCAACATCAAAAGAATTCTAGTTCATGGTTATAGAGATCCATTACTCTACTAACACAAAATACAGCACTGCAAGTTCAATACTATCTACCTCTTCTTCCTAGGAAATCCAGAGTGCACCAACGCTCCATTAATATTAATATTTGATTTAAACCCACTAAAAGAGAAAATTTGGAGTTTTATTTGTCACAAGCCCAGCGCTTTGGTGCCATTGTTTCCTGGCACACTGAATGATTTCACAAATATAAAATCTTGACTCAGGGCACCAGTGATATCTCAGCCTTACTGTGGAATGACAGGCAATACATACTTGGGTCTCCTGTGGCTAAACTGGGAGCTAGAGGAGCTTTGTCACCTTCAAATCAGAATTCCCCTTCCTAGAATTTCCTTTTTTGTGTTGATCAGAATCCTAATGTTGTATTTCATAGTATTTTTCTGTATAATTTTAACCGACAGACATTATAAACTCAGCTTTTATCACAAAATTATATTATATATGCTTGATGGTAACTGCCAAAACATCAACCAAGCGGTTGGATATAATGAAGGCTGGATTTCATGGGTATTTTTAAGCTTATGTTTAAAGTGGATTCATCTAGCTCTTTCATTAACTCAGTAGCAAAGGTCAGAGGAGATGAAAACCTGGGATCCCAAATTTACTTGATACACATATAATTATGTTTCAAAAAGTTCACAGTCTTCTAGTGTTTCTTATTTCTGGTTCCATTTGACCATGACATCATGAACAAAGGACAACTTTCCACCAGGGAAATTCACTGTGGGGCTAACAAGAGCTCCACAGTACTCATCTCTCCCAAGGGACTTGAATCATTTTGAGTAAGAGAATCCCTGGGATTAAGAGCAGATTCTTTTTTCCCACACCTATAGAATGAAGGAAACCAGCCGCTTTCTCCTTCACCACTAACCTAGTGCAATTTAGCTATTTTAGACTCAAAGGAACGTGAATTCCAGCAATTCAATTCCCAGCAGAAATTGCAGTCTCTCTCTCCAGATTGCCTTGTTTCAATTATATAGCGCTCAGTCACCCACTTTTTTGAAAGCAAGAACAATCTGCCTGTTCTTTAATACACATCACCCCAAAACGAGCCTTTTTGTGAGGCCAGGGGAATTTATTTGATGTCAATTCCAAAACTGCTGGAAGTTTTAGTTGCTATTTTGTACAATATGTTCCTGTTCTGTATTAATCTACAGTCACCCAGCAGTTTAGTAACCATGGTCTGTAATCATTAGATTATAAATGTTACACTCCAATCTCTCTTACTGAATCAGTTAGTGCCTTAATGTGCATCACTTTCCCAGCTGCTCTCCCAGTTGTCGAAATCCAATTTATTAATGGATAAATGAATTGTATCCGCTAAATAACGTTGTGCTGCATGCTTGAAAAATATTCAAAGTCAATAAATGGGTTAACCCTGCGTGTGCAAAAGCAGGATTGTGATAGCATTTCCCATTTATTACAAGCTATCTGGACCCAGATTCTTATCGATAATGTCTGTAAACAAGACTCTCCTGTCCTGAACAAGAAACTACAGGAGCAGAGGACATGCCTTCAGAGCCAAACACGTTCAAATACAAATCACAGTCCAGTTAGCTTTTGCAGAACTGTCTATGTGATTTTATTGTTGATAGCAATTAATTCTTGCTAAAACATGAATTCTGACCAAAAAACCCCTTCCATTAGACTGTTAGAGACTAAAATGTGCTGTAAGTATTAACAGCTCATAATTCCCATCATGTCTGGTTGGAATGTATTCTTGCTACACGGATTTTCCTTAAAGATTGCCATATTCCATTTTTCCTTTGAGGTTTCACCCCTTAAGTTATGCAGCTCTGTAAAGAAGGTGATTTCATTGCTTTGTCATAGCCCATAATGCAAGACATGAAAGATCAGGAAAATATATAAAAACCTGGTTGTGCAATCAGTAATTAAAGCCATACTCCTATGTTCCATTTTCTTCAGTGTGAACTGAAAACTAAGATGCAAACCTTGAGTTTATACAAGGACACCTATGAAAAACTCACATAATTGGTGGCCTGGTACTAAACTGGTGGGAGCAATACCTGTGCGAAAGCAGATGGTTGCTGTTTGAACTGAAGGAGGAGATTCTCCCAAAAGTTCTGCAGAACCTTCTGACTTGCTGTCCATAAATGCCCAAGTGATTCTCTTCTGCTTCTAATTAGACTACAGTTTCCACCCTGAGTCTTCAGTTCTTGTCACACTATTTTGTGAATGGAGATTACATATATTTTTTTGCTCAACTGAAAGAGACCTTCTTTCTTTTATGTAGCAGTATCTGATCACTTTCTTCACCCATGTTGTTTTAAGAAGACG